CATATACCTTGTTTGATTGGGTTATTGGCTCTTAGATTGTTACTCCAGACAGTGGTGTTTGTGTGACTAAGATTCTGTGTCAATGGTGAAATTTATTTATTTATTTATTTATTTTGGTGTGTGTATGTGTGTGTTATTGGAATTAAATCTGTGTTATTGAAATTTCTGTTTATTGTTCATTGGAATTAAATCTGTTTATTTGTTCATTGGAATCTCTGATTTTATTTATTTATTTATTTATTTTTTCTGTTATTGGAATTAAATCTGTGTCAATGGAATTAAATCTGAGTTTATTTGTCAATTTCTGATTTTTTTTTTTAAATTTGTTATTCAATCTGTGATTCAATTTGTGTTAAATCTGAGAGTTTGAATTGAATCTATGTTATTGGAATTAAATCTGTATTATTGGAATTAAATCTGTGTTATTGGAATTTCTGTTTATTTGTTCATTGGAATTAAATCTATTTATTTGTTCATTGGAATCTCTGAGTTTATTTAATTATTTTTCAATTTTTCTGTTATTGGAATTAAATTTGTGTCAATGGAATTAAATCTGAGTTTATTTGTTCATTTATTTTTTTTATTTTTTTTTTAAATCTGTTATTCAATCTATGATTTAGTCTATGTTAAATCTGAGAGTTGGAATTGAATCTGCGTTATTGGAATTGAATCTGTTATTGAATATGTGTTATTGAATCTGTTAGAGGGTGATTGAATCTGTTATTAAATTGAATATGTTATTAAATTCGTTATGTTATTGAAATTGAATTTAATTGATCGGTTATGTTATTAAATCTGCTATGTTATTGAATCTGATTTTGAATGATTGTAGGATTTTAAATGATTTGTTTGTGTTAAGAATTGATTTTGTTGTGTTTTTAATTTTATAAGTTTTAATTCATTAATTATTAATGTTGGTTCATTTTTGAAAATTGTAACAAAATAACCCGAAATAAATATTTACAAAATGAGGAAAAAAAACTCAAAAATAAATTTTTAAAGGAAAAAATTCAAACCACAAATCGCGTGCAACCAGCCTCACATCTGCAAACTCTATCCTCACAAACCGCAAACTGCACTGCAGACGGTTGCGGTTTGACTTTTCCCAAATCACATAGGTGCGGATGGGTCAAAACCAAATCACAAACCGTATAAATCTAATCCGTGAGCACCCTTACTCCCACGGGATTGTTAGTCCTACATAGTAGTAGGATTAATCTCACGACACAGTGTTTAAGACTTTTTTTTTTTTTTAATTTTTTTTTATAGTGTGTATGTAAATTTTTTACTTTAGTTTTTCACTAATCATCTCTCATACTATCATCAAAACAAACAAGCTTTTACTTTATTACCTCACTAATAATTTATACATTAACAATTTCTTCACTAACCATCTAGTTACTAACAATCTCATCCAATCTAATCCGTCAAATATACATAGCTATATAGTCAAGTTTTTCCTTTTCTTTTTTTTTTTTTTTATCAAGTCTATTTCCTATTTAAAAAAACAAATGTTGACCCTTTGATTTGTATGAGACCAACGGAGATAAAGTCTTCAGGTTTGTTATTGAAAGTCAGGATGTAATGGAGTTTTGGATGCATTTGGCGAGTTAGATTTGGCTTTGTTTTTTTTTTTTTTTTGCTGTAATAATCCTCACTGTGTGGAGATTATGCCCTTCCTTTGGGGTTCTTTCTCTTACAAAAATTTGTCAGTTCTTTTGTTTTCACTGTACGAGACTTTTTATCGATTTTGTAATGAAAATTTTCTTCTTAATCTAAAAAATAAAATAAAAAAATATCTAAAATTTTAAAATTTCAATAGAAGATTTCTTACAAAAACCAAACACTTGGATTAATTTGACACAAATTTAACTGCTAAAATTTATGATTTTTTTTTTTTTGGGTTACATCGGAAATGAAACAAGGGCCTAAGCCCTTTTTATAGATCGACCTAGCATATCATCAACCAGCAAGCTTCTAATCTCAACTGGGGGCTCTTTCACCACCAGCATGTCCTCCTGTTGAGCTGCTCCAAGCTTGGCCAGAGCATCAGCACACATCTTTCACCACCAGCATGTCCTCCTGTTGAGCTGCTCCAAGCTTGGCCAGAGCATCAGCACACAGATTTGCTTCCTTCCAAACATGTTGGACAGTGCAGTTGCATCCGTTGAGCAAGATTTTTGTATCCTCAACTAGACGCTTGAAAGGGCATTTGTCTCCTACCTCTTCCTGCAGCAAGTGCACTACCTGGGCTGCATCTGTCTCAATGATCACCTCATTTAAACCTTGCTGTAGAACCACTGTCAAACTCTTGTAGACTGCCCACAACTCTGCCTCCAGACTGGTTCCTGGTTGAAGTTTGCCATAATAACCACAAACCCATGTTCCTCTTTCTTCTCTAATCATGCCTCCAAAGCCTCCATCTCCTTCTGATTTTCTGCTGCCATCAGTGTTAAGCTTCAGTTGTCCTGCAGATGGTAATAACCAGGAAATAAATTGATAAGCTGGTCTTGGAACTGGTAAAGAATTAAGGAAAGCAAGATGAATCTCTCTAAAGTAATCCAAAATGTATTTGACACACTCTTGGTAACTAGTGGGTTTTCTATCAAACACATACAAGTTCCTGTTTTTCCAAATTTTCCACAAGGTTACAGTAAAAACTAGATACCAAGGGAGGTCAAAATTAAAATGATTTTTATTTTTAACATTACTCATGAACCAATCCATCCAACTTTTCCTTCGCATTTCAAGAAACCAAGGTTTGTGAAAAAGAGCAAGCCAAATTTCCTTGGCCTTGTAACAGCCTCTAAAAAGATGCTGGCTGTCCTCAATCAAATTACAACTAGGACAGTGATCATCTTGAGTTAAGCCCCTGTGCAGCCTCATTATTAGTAAGTAATTTTCCATGCCTCACAATCCACAAGAAACCTTTAAGTTTCTATGGAAGTCTGAGCTTCCACAACTTAAAATCAATTGTAGTATAACAGGAACTCCGCATGTTTTCACGACAAAGCTCGTTCGGCCATTGATGTTGCAAACCACGCCGTCTCATACCTTCAGGAATACTCTTTGGCTCAACAGCTAATTCGTTGTCCGTCCGAGTGCAATTTCACACCCATCGAGTTGGTTACCACCTCAGTAAGGAATTTTCAAAATCAATTTTGATGGGGCTACTTTTAAAGATCAAAAAATGCAATAGGCTATGGAATTGTTCTGCGAGATCACCGCGGGGACATTATTGCGGCTTCATCAGAGAAAGGGCTGTTCCCATTATCTGTGGACTGTGTTGAGGCTACGGCAGCTTTCAAAGCCTTACGTTGTATTTGATTAGAGATGTAGAAAAGAAAAGAAAAAAGATAAATGAAATATGAAATATGAATAAAATATATTTATTGTTGAGTTGGCTACAGATTCTTCCATGTGAAGGAAAGTAGCAGCCAGCTACATGGTGGGGAAGCCATGAGTTGGCCATGAGGCCATACCATGAGGCCATGAAGGGAAAGCCACCGAAATAGGCTGGCAGCCAGCTCAATTCCTTTTGCATTTGTAATCTCTATATATAGAGAAGCTAAGGAGAGTTGAGGCACAGCTGAGAGGTGTGAGCTTAGAGAGCAAAGAGAGAGAGAGAATTACTGAGAGAGTTGTAATTCTTACCATTTTGTTCAATATAGTGAATCCGCTGCCCGTGGGCGTAGGCGACTTGCCGAACCACGTTAAATCTTGTGTGTTATTGCTTGTTTGAGTTCCCTGGTGTGCCCCCGATCCTCAACAATTGGTATCAGAGCTCGGGTTGCGAAAAATCGAATTTTTCCCGAAAGTGCCCAGATTTCGAAGTGCTCAAAATCCACTTTTGACCATACCAGGAGGAAGAACTCCCCGAGAGGAGTCCAGAACAGCAAAAACAGTATTTTCTCTTTTCTTTTTCCTTTTTAAATCCTCCAACTAAACATAGCGTTAGTGTTTGTTAGGAACCGGGATTGCATGATATTGCTTTGGAAGGTGATTCATTGGTTACTATTACGTGATGTTTGGTTGAGAGATTTGAAAACAAATATAAAAAGGGATAAAAATTAAAAGAGAAAAAGTATGTGAAATGTAAATAAAATATACCTATCAACTAGTTTCACATATGTTTTTCCTTTCATTTTTCAAACCCCTTTTCAAATTTCTTAATCAAATACAACGTTAAGGCTCTCAATGCCACCAATGAATTATTGTTTTAATCTGGGCAAATTTTGACTCAGTCAAGTGTTCTTCACTCTATTCGCCAGTCGAGTGTCCAATTTGATCGCAGATCAGGGAACATGGTAGCACATCGGCTTGGCTGCAACTTTGGAGGAATCGCGTGTTTTGTTGGAGGAGGTTCCAGATTCTTTCCACAAACTTGTACGGGCTGAAGCGGCATCATAATTTGGATTCCTATTTATGCTTTAGTTTCTTATTTGTCTTGTTACTTTGTTTCTGCCTTCTGCCAGTCGCCTATCTAAAAACAAAGGGTGATTATTCAGTACTTTCGAAATATAGTGACGTGGTACTCTATAAAGTTTTAATTAGTGGAGAGATATAAAGTAATTAATGATTGATTTGAAGTATGGACACGTGGTGCTGCAGGAATATTAAATAATTTCTCAAAAAGAAAAAACACACAATTTAAAACCTTTACAACCGTGTTGTTGATCCATTTAAAACCTCAACTTCCCCTTTCAAATTTCAAATAAAATCATGTAATTTGGCCAACAAATTTACTAAGTAATTGTGACGTGTTCTTTGAATTTTATGTTGGACTTATATATATATAGATAGATATTATTGAATAGGTAGACAATCACGTGTTTCCTAATTCATGTAATAATTTTTGCAAATCTACATATACAATCAAGAAGTAAAATAAAATTTTCAAATTTAATCGATAAAATAAGAGAGAATTTGAATCATAAATGGTATATATCTCTGACACTATTGTCTCAAAAAAAAAAAAACAATTTTTTCCAAAAAAACTACAAAAAAAATATAAATTTATTATTACGGGATCATTAAATTCAAAAACTAGCAAATTCAAATGAAGAGTTTAATCATCGCCCTGTAACCAAACCACCAACAGCAACAACAAAAAGAAAAAAACAAAAAAAAAAAAGTTTCATTCAAGCATAAACCAAACACTCATTCCGATGATCTTTCCGGTCACTGGCGGCCACCAAAGTTCCGGCACCGGCCGGCCCAGCAAACTTGAAATGCAATTCTTCACAAAACACTCTCAGACTGGCCTGTCTCCTCCACAACGAGCTCGACCTAAACGTCGTCGTCGCCATCATCCTCAACGCGAAACTCACCTCCTGTTTATTCCGATCCCTCACCAAATCCGGATGCTCTCCCATTACCACCTCCTGGTGATTCGAACTAGTCGCCGACACAAATTTAATATTAAATGTCGTTTCCCCTCTAGTCCCCACATTTATATGCTCAGCTATCGCCAATGCCAGCACAGTCTCTTCGTGTACGATCACGCCTTCGATTTTCTCGAAAAAAAGTACTAGTTTCTCGTTAGAGTTGCTGATAGTAATGTTTGCGTCCCAATTCGCTCTCAAAGCGTGCCCCGAGACGTTGAATTCCGGGACTGACATGGATTGTATGAAGAATTGTGGGACGTCTGCGCCGAAGATAAGGAAGGTGAGGAGGCTGAGGAGGAATGCGCCGAGGAATAGGGCGATCATCATGGTGAGGATGAATCGGACAAATGTGAATCGGCCCGAGGATTCATGCGGTGCTGCGGCGTATTGTTGGGAGTAGTAGGCGGCGGGTGGTGGGGCGGTGTAGGGGTAAGGGTTGTTGTGGGGGTTGGGGTAGTAGGGTGGTGGAGGGTAGTTTTGGTATTGTGGAGGGTAGGGTTGAGGTGGGTATTGTTGTTGTTGGGGGGAGAAGCCTGGGACTGGAGGGTACCCTGTAACGGAGGCTTGTTTGGATTGATCGTCACCTGTGGAAGCCATGGGTGGTGTTGTTGAGGTGTGTGTGTGGATTTTTTTTTTATTTTAATCTCTCTCCTTCTCTCTCTCTCTCACATGGAAGAGGAAGAGGAAGAAAAAGAGGAAGAGAGATGTGGATGATGATGGTAATGGGTTTTACAATGTGAGAAGAGATTTGGGGGGAGAGGAAGAGAGATGGGGGCTTTGATGAGAGAGTAATTTAGGTGTGTGAGGGAGAGGGAGAGAGAGAGAGAGAGAGATGGGCGGTAAGAGTTGACAATGAGGTGGAGGAAGGATTGGGAGAGAGATGAGGAATGTATATAGGAAATGTGCTTAATTTGTAATGAAGAATGCCTATATATGACATGGCTCACTTGGCAAATTATTGTTCTCACGAGCCTTCATGTAGGTTGCCATTTGATAACATGATAAAAACAGTCTCAGCCTGAGATTTTCGGCGCCTAAAATCGATAATTAATTAATAAGTTTTTGAGATTTTTAGTATTTTTTTTTCATTGAATGAAAAAAAAAAATTGAAAGTAAAGGACAAAAAATTTGTGTGAAAATCACAAAAAATACTTAATATTACATTACAATAACTAATAAGTATCGTTTGATCCTCACTCTTTTTGTATTTTTAGAAACAAATAAATCAATCATACTTGCATAATCTAATTTTTTTGCCAAATCATTTTCAATGAATAACAATGCTAATTATTTTAAATGGACCTTTTAATTTTTTTAATGGATTAATTTATTTAAGTTAATTTGGCTCTTTCTTAATTTTTTTTTGACTTAAAATATATTTAATATATTAGACTAAATTATAATAAGAGAGACCCTTTTTTAGGTCTATTTTCAATAGATAATAATGCTAATTTTTTTGAATGGCATTTCAATTTTTTAATGAATCAATTTATTTTAAGTTAGTTTGAGCCATTTTTTAATTTTTTTAGACTTAAAACATACCTAATATATTACACAAAATTATAATAGAAGGGATCCCTTTTTCAACTCTATTTTGAGGGGCCCTAGGCCATGGCCTTGTGGCCTATGCCCCAGGGCCGGCCCTGGATAAAAATTACTTGATACTTTTCAAATATTTTGTTCAAATATTTGGTTATATTGCCAATGTGTTAGTTTCGACTAATAAGAAATCGTAACATTTATTAACTGAGTTATTTTTTTTTATCTCTAAAATATTTAATAAAGATGAATTAATACTTGAATTAATGAATAACTATAGTGATATAGATTTATATGGACACAAAATATTGTATGAAATTTTGAGTCATTTAGTGTTTGAAATTGTGTGCTACCAACATTATTCAAATAATGATATATGATACAGGTCATTGGGTCTTCTTTAAGATTGTATTAGAATTATCTTAATACTAATTCAACTTATTTACTATTTTATATTATCGTATCGTGTCATCTTTTTTGTCCGTATAGTATTAACGCGTAATATCAAAAGTTTTCACCATTAATTAAATGTACCAAATATATGAAAAAATGAAAAATAAAAATTCCACAAGTTAATTTCTATTGAATAAAATTATTTATCAAAAAATTTGATTTCAAATTATTTCTATTTTTCTAATTTACAAAGAGTTTGGTTAACAAGTGTCGTGAGGGTGTTGGTTAACAATGTTGAAATTGATTGTGGAGAAGTGATTGAGACCCCCTCCAATTACCACTCCCACCGCCCCACATACACGTGGGGACTGGTGATTGGAGGAGAATGGCTGGAAAAAAAAATGGTTAATCACAGCCAGAGGGGGTCAGGGGTGCCTCCTCGTGAGGGTCCAAATCATTTTTGTTGATTGTATATTGCATCTTGCACGCACTCCCATGCATTATGTGCATGTATTTTAAGTTTCTTATCAAGTGCTCTAAGGGCACTCATTAACAAAATCTCATTTACAAAAACTATATCCTACTATAATATTTTTTTCACCCGACCAAATCTAAATGGGAGATTTACCCATAAATCCCAAAATGTGAACTTATGAACCAATTGGTCCCATTTATAATCTACTAAACTGTTTAGTCCTGCCAATTTGTGAGGGACGTAATTACCCTCATTTGAACGTTAGTAGTCAGATCCGGCTTGTTAGGTGGAACTTGGGTGTGGCTCGTATGGGCCGCACGTGGGTAATTAGTGAGTGGATGTGTGGCGTCTATCAAGTCATACATTGAGACGGTGTCACAGAATTACAAAGCGCTGTAAGGGTTTTCATTTTTGGGCTGGGTTGGTGTGTTTGGGCGTTAACACAAGGCCCACAACAAAAATTGAAAGGGCTTCAAATTGTGACTAATTGGACACACACATACCCACAACCCGTTGAATGTTAACCCGTTATGTGCAGCCACATTCACACAGTCATTTTGGTCTCCTACTCTGTACTGTATGAAACCCTATATGTGTGATTGCCAGCAATTTCGCTATTTCGTTTGATCAAATACCTCGTTGTCATATTCCATTGTAGAAAGGATTACGTTTGAGAGGTTGATTGGATCGGTATTGCTGGTGTTTTGTTTTGTTTGTCGATCGAACGGTATGACGTTGCAAAAAGTGGAAGATAAAGGAACCCTAGTTCGCATAATCCTTCATCGGTGCTCTGACATAGTTCTTTCATGGACGGGATGGGTATGTTTCGTAACCTTGTTTTTCGAATCTGTGTTTGTTAGTGTGGTACATTGGTTTTTTGTATTTTCCCTGTGGATTTCGTGCATTTTGTTTAGTAAGGGTTATTGTGTTTGGCTAAGTTGTTTGGGATTTTTGTGTGTGTGTTTGTTGTTGGGTTTGGTTGGGTGGTTGGTTGTGCTTGTGGGGGAAGGAGGTTGAAGAAAGTGTGTAAGAGGGACAATGTTGTGGGGAATCACACGTAACTATGAAGACAAGGGGTGGGGCCAAGTTACGTTGTGTGTTTGTCTGTGTATTGTGGTACTGTGTTGGTCGTAGTGGGCCATGGTTCGACTATTTGAGGGTGCGGTATGTTCTTTTTTTGGTTTTTGTTGTGGTTGTGTTTGGGTTGTTGTGTGGATGGACTTCCTAAGGGGTGTTTCTTGGGGTTTAGGTGGGGATTTAGGTGGAAATAACTTTGGGATGTGGGCGTGATGGTTGGGGCCACATTTGATGGTGAACAAACAGTTGGGGTGGGGTTTTGTGTGTGGGGGAGGTTCTGTGTTTTTGTCGTATATGTGTGACTTGTGTGAGGTTTGGTATTTGTGTTTTTCTGTGGGTTTTTTTTTTTTTGTGTTTTTGTGATTTCGGTGTATGTGAGGGTCAATGCTTTCGTGGTCTGTGTGGATGCTCTTTGTTGTGGTATTGTCGTATGTAATGTTATTTGCTTTGCTGGTGTGGTTGGGTGTGTTCCCATGCATTATTTTTGGTGAGTGTATATGTGGTGTTGGTGGTGGTTATTTTTTTGTTCCGTGCAAGGTTACGAAATAGTGCATGGCATGACAATGTGAGAGGGGGGGTGTGTCTGTATGGGGTAGCTTGTTTGTGCAGTTGTTGTAAGTTTTGTTGAAATGGTTTATGTGTGGTGTTGCAGATAGCAGTACGGTACGTAGTCCGTGGACTAGATCGTGTGAGAAGCAAAGGGCTGCGGAAGCATCTAGGTCGAAGGCACACAAAGTTAGTGTAAAAATGGAGGGACGCATCCTTTTCAAGCAGACGAAAGTTTTGAATAATGCTGTGGGACGTAATGCGAGTAAGGGTAATGAGTACCCACAGCGGCTGGCACACATGAGGATTAACTACCGGTCAAACGTTGCTGGTATAATCAAACTTGTTAGTTCGGTAAAACTGAGGGAGGCACATATGAATCAATTAAAGAGAACGCCATTTTGGATTATGATTGAGGCGATCCATGTCAACAAGTTAAACCACAATGAATTCAGGAAGTGTAATGATCTGATTTCGAAGATTATAAAAACGTATGATCCGCGTGATAATGCGTTCCATATTGGAGGGGCCAGTGTCAAATTAACTAGTAGCGATGTGAGACTGATTTTTGGACTGCAATGCGGGAAGAGACGTTTGGATTTAACTCCAGGTCAATGACTAGTGTCGGACTTTATTCAGCGTAGGTGCCGTGACATGTTACGGTTAACATCGAAACTGGTAAAAAGTTTGTTTGTTGAAGCTGTTAATGGTCGGACCAAGCAAGATGAGGAAGATGTGGCAAAGCTTTTGGCGTTGTACATTTGTGGGAAACTGTTTTTCGCAAACTCAGGTGAGACAATTAGTTGGGCATTTGTTCGGTATATGAACGACTTGGACATTGTGAGGATGTACGACTGGACTAGCGCAATAATGACAGCACTGATGGGGCCAGTGAAGGAGTTTCATCGAATGCCATGGAAGGTGACAAGCTGCGTAGTTGCGTTGTTGGTATGTGAATGTTCAATTAATGTCGTAGTAACACATATTTGTGGCAGATATATTAGTTTACTAATATTTTATTTTCTTGTTATGTGTGGTATTGGATAATAGAACATTCAACAATAATTGAGCCGCAAACGAACAACATGTTCCCCAGATTCATGAAATGGGACATTGGGAAATTGCTGAGTAAAGCTCAGGGGCTTGACCTGTCCGGCCTAGTTAATTTTCAGGTATGTGTGTTGGGTGTGGTTGTTGTTTTAAGGCTTATATTTGACTGTATGAACTTGTGTTAAGTTTTTTTTCATTCGTTATGGTAATATGTTTGTGTTTACGCAGGTTAAAGTAGACCGACTTAGGTCATTTGAATATGAACGTGAAATGATGGGTGCGGATGTTGTTGTGTTTGAAAATGTTCAGTCATATGTGGTTGATTGTGTTGGAGGTGATGATGCTTTTGTGGATGAACTTAAAGGTGATGGCAGACACACTAAGGCTGCGGTTCATACAGACAATGTGGAGTTTGGATTTAGCGATGTACGTGAGAAATGCAGTTCGTGGAAAGGGCACAAACCAAAAATGACAGTGGGAGGCAAGGGAACAGACGCATTGCATGGTTCCACATCTGGGAAGGACAATGAGGGGGTGAATGACAACAAAGTGAATGAATATGGCAGTGCAATTGCAATACTGGAATTGGAGAATAAAAGAAAAGATGAAATGATTGCATTGCTTGAGGAAGAAGTTGCTGGTCTGAAAAGGAAACTGGAGGCGCAAGCTGTGAACATTGTAAGGGGGTTTGAGTGTGTGTTGGGCATTAAGAAT